AAGCAAGCAGCTGCCACCCCGCTCGAGACGGTTGCTGCCACGTGGAACTGGGCCTCAGTGTGGCCTGGTCTGCAGCAGCCAGAAACCTGGGTTTCTAAGGGAAATAGTCTTCATTGTAGATCTTGGCACCTGGCTGGGTTGAGCTCTTCTTGGTTTCTTTTTCGCACGTGTGTGTGTTTAAGGCACGATGCTGGTTCTCTGTGGGTAGACAGAACCTGTGTGCGGATCTCTGGTTTGGGGGGATGGCCTCAGGCCAACCTGGATTGGAGTTCCCCATCTCCCGCTTTGTAGCTTTGTGCTCCTGGGCCAGCTCATTCCGTTTTCCTGACCTTTTCTCAGTTTCATCACCGGTAAAATAAGGTTGAAGATAAAATAGTTCCTCTTTACAGGGCCTGTTTCCCGAAAACTACCCTCTGCTTTCCCTGGGGTGCAGCTTGCCCCTGGGCAGGTGCAGAGAGCTCCCTAACACCCACAGTTTGGCTGGCGGAGTAGCAGCCTCAGAGGCCCCGCTCGGCCCACGGACCTCTTTCGTCTGGTTCCTTCGGATGCAGAGGAGGCAGGGGGTGCTCCGTGAATCTCCTCTCTGCAGCATTTGCTTCTCTCCTCCGGGTTGCTAAGGCCAAGTCCTCCCGATGCCCCCCCCCCCCATATGTTTCCTTACCATTTAATAGAAAGAAAAGATTGCATTTGATCCACTGTGTTCTGTCCTTGCCACGAGTTACCTGCTCTGGATTGCGTCATGGCGATTGCTCCTGAGGGTGGCCGTGTTGAGAGATGGGCTTCCCTCTAGAAACGTGGCCTTGGGAAAAAGGGGGACAGCGAGGACTTTGCCCATTGCGTGGCAGATGCAGGTGCTGCGGGAGCCGGGAGCACATGGACATGGGGAGGCGTGAGGGAGGGGTGGTGGCTGAGCTGCCCCATCTGGAGGGAGCAGCTTCCGTGCCGGGGGAGACGCAGGCCCATGTTGCCGAAGCTGCTGACTCTTAAGAGAAGCTGTACATCCAGGCTTCACCGCCGCAGTATTTTTTAAAGGCGCATGTGTGTGCTTTGCTGTGGAATAGTGTTGGATTTTCGGAAAAGCTGCAGAGGTCGTGCCGAGAGCTCCCATATCCCCTCACCCAGTGCCTGCTCTGTTAACACCCGACATCGCCACGTCCCTCCGCTGAAACGGTAAACACCAACCCGGCCGGGGCTGCTCACGCCTCTCACGCTTGACTTCTGTTTCCCCGTTCCCACTCGTGCCTCTCTCCCGTTCCAGGCCCGGCGAGGAGACCACACCGCCCGTCTCCGTAGCCTCTGCAGTCTCCGAGTTTCTTTCCTTGCTTTCCGTGACTTTGCAGTTCGAGGAGTACTTATCGGGCATTTTGTAGACCAAGCATGTCAAACTCAAAAGCTAAGATGGGCCAAATAAGCAAGGTTTACGTTAATGTGGGCCGCAAAAAAAACCAAAAGCTTCCATTTTCATAGAGACGTAGATTTATTTCCATAGAGACGTGCTGAATACAAAGGGCTGAAATAAATGAGTAATCGTTAACATAAAATAATAGAACATTTTAATAAAAATTAATATTTTTTCTTGAACTTTAACTCACCAGACACTGAGTAACTGCACAAATTAATAAGCGTAATGCAAATAATAAGGGAAATGAATGCAACACAATGATAGTCATCGGTCATTAGTGAACATTGTAGTTTGTTATTAATCATTATGTAACAGGATATTGTAAAAATTAAGTTACAAAATTTTTATTAAAACATTTCTTACATACCGGTATATTGGCTGGGCTGCAAAAATATTCGTTGTGGGCCGTGACTTTGACATGCTTGTTGTAGATGGTCCCTCCCTTTAGGTTTGATGTTTCTCCTGTGGTCAGATGGGGGTTATGGTTTCTGGAGAGAACGCCGCAGAGGTGAGGCGCTTCCCGGCACATTGTCGCAGGCACGTGGCTCCCACGGGACGTCACGGGGGTTAGCGGTCAGGTTTCTCCGCCGTAACATGCCCGCGTTCCCGCTCATCGTCCGCTCCCGTCAGACTCCTGTGCGTTCATTCGACTCGTCGGGTTCTAGTCCCGTGTCACGCTGCTTACTGTGTCGGCAGGTTGCTCCAGCCTCAGCGACGGAGCTCTGTCGGGTTGGCTCCGGGCCCCCGGGCGCTCCAGACTCTTCCGCTTTCCCGCCCCAGCCCTGGGATCGGCCGTTTCTCCCGGAGCCCATTTGAATTTAAAGTTGGAAATTAAGTCAAATTTAACAACTGAAACACTTCGTGAGCTGAGTCACATTTAGACATGGGAGATCTCGTTTAATGCCCAGAACATTCTTTCAAGAGAAGCGCCCGTAACCTCCCCATTTTACAGGTGAGGAAACTGAGGCCAGCAGCCTGAGCCAGACCCACCCTCTCAGGATGCTCTTCAGCCTCATGGGGTCAGAGCTGGGGAGGGACTTACCCCTGGACAGTGGGCTTGGCGCCTGCTGCCCGGGGGGAAGGCAGGGCTGTGCCCAGAGGAGGGGGCCCGGGACAGGAGTGGGGTTTGGACATGCCGGGCCGTGGGATGGCTCCCAGGAACCAGGGCGTCCTGAGGTGGTGGGGACAGACTTCAGGAGAACCACAGAGGCCTCAGGTACTTAGGCAGAAAGAGGAGACACAGGTACAGTTTTTAAAAACAGGCTTAAAATTAAAATTTTGTCCTGAGCTGTCACCGTGTGTTCCTCTCTATTGCTGCCTAACAGTGATCCCAAACGCAGTGACCACAGCGATTCTCTCTCACGGGGCCGCGTGTGCGGGTCAGGGGTCTGGGTGCAGCCCGGCCGGGACCTGCGGCTCCGCCTCAGGCTGCAGTCACGGCCTGGGCCGGGGCCACGGTCGTCTCCGGGCTCAAGTGGGGCAGGACTGCGTCCAGCGGAGCCAGTGGTTCTGGGCAGGGCTCGGCTCCTCACTGGCGGTTGGGGGAGGCCCTCAGTCCCTAGCCACGTGGCCTCTGCAGCACGGCAGCTTCCTCAGAGCGAGCAGCCGAGAGGGCAAGTGAGAAAGGAGGGGGGCGGGGGGAGCACGCGGAACAAGCCGGCAGCAGAGAGACCACGGGCAAGGAGGGGGGACAGCCTTCTGTAAAGGAGGCTCCCAGTGACATCTCTCGCTGTGGCCGGCTCCTCTAGGCCCGGCCCAGGACAAGGGGAGGGCTCTCAGGGCCTGAATAGCAGGAGGCGGGTCACTGAAGACTCGTAGACAGAGGCCTGCACCCGCCTTGCCACACACTCTGTCCTCACAGCATCCCGAGGAGCCGGGCCAGTGCCGCACAGTTAGGCACAGGAGGGCTGAGAGCCGTGGCTGCCCAGGGTCACACAGCTCTTGTGGGTAGAGCTAGTTCAGACTCCGCTCTGAGTCCCAAGCCCAGCTCCTGCTGTTCCTCGGACTGGTGTTTCTCGGACTGTCCCCGGACCCCACTCCAGCTGAGCCTGGGAGTGGGCTGAGAACAGATTGCCAGCCAGCCCCAGACAAACCGTCCAGACTGGGGGCCTGGGGACCCGCATTTGGCTGGCTTCCCGCGGGGGACTCAGATGCCCCCTGGAACCTGAGAGCGGGGTGGAACTGCCCCTCTGCGCGGCGAGGACGTGATACCACGGACATGGCATTTCTCCCTCACACGAAGGGCTGGGCTTTGTTCGTTGGGCTCTGAAGGAAAACGGAGGCTGAAGTGTCCAATTTCAGTGATGCAGGGACGGTGGTGGCTGCATAAAATGTAGTCACTTTGGGGGTCCTTCTAAACCGAAGAAATTGGACATTAATGAGCCGCCTGGGAAATGCCCAGCACAGTGTCTGCATGTAGGGGGCACCCTGATAAGGTGTGTTTTTCATTAACATGGTTAATGTTAATGATTAACTCCTTAGTGGTATTAATTCCAGGGCAGCGAAAGCTTGCCTCACCTCAGGTTCAGTGAAGAGATTTGGATTCTTTCCCTTTGCTCCTTTCGTGCTTTAGAACATGAAGACCTGGCCAGGTAACTCAGATGGTTAGAGCTCAATGTTGCGGGTTCAATCTGCAATCAGGGCACATACAAGAAGCAACCAATGAGTGCATAAATAAGTGGAACAACAAACCGATGTCTCTCTCTCTCAAATCTATCTATACTAATAAAAGGGCAATATGCTAATTAGACCGGGTCAACTGGACATCTTCCGGACGCCTGACTTCCTTCGGACAAAGCCATGGGGGCTGAGGCAGAGGCGGTTAGGGGCAGTCAGGTTGGCAGGGGAGCAAGTAGTTAAGGGTGAGATCAGGCCAGTGAGGGGGAGCAAGCAGTTGGGGCGAGGTCAGACTGGTGCGGGGGAACAATCAGTTAGGGGCGAGATCAGGCCTGCACGGGGAGCAAGCAGTTAGGAGGTAATCAGGCTGGCAGGGGAGAGCAGTTAGAGGGCGATCAGGCCGCAGGGGAGGGGAGTTGGGGGCGATCAGGCTGGTAGTGGAGGGCAGTTGGGAGTGATCAAGCTGGCAGGGGAATGGTTAGGGGCGATCAGGCAGGCAGGCGAGTGGTTAGGAGCCAGCAGTCCCAGATTGTGAGAGGGATGTCCCTCTGCAGGATGGGCCTAAACCAGCAGTCGGACATCCCCCAAGGGGTCCCAGATTGGAGAGGGTTCAGGCCGGTCTGAGGGACACCCCCCTTGCACGAATTTCATGCACCGGGCCTCTAGTCATTCAATAAATTAATTAAATTAAAAAGAAAACGAAGATATTTTGTTTGGGATTGGCGGTGGTGGTTATTTGGGGGTGGGGGAGTGACAATTAATTTTCAGTTTAGTAAATAACACCTGGGCAGGTGTGGGTCCCGAGAAGCAGTGGTGTGGGTCCCCAGCTGGGCTCTGGTGGATCCTGGGCCTGCCCTGGGGCAGGATGCCACTCAGAACCTCGGCCATCAGCGAGGTCTCCACTGTCCCTGGCTGATCCGAGGCAGGCGGGAGGCCGTGGTGATGGGACAGAGGGCCTCAGGAGCTGCTTTGTTCCTTGCAGATCAGGAGCGACACTTCGCAGATCTTGGAGGAAAACATCCCTCTCCTTAAGGCCAAGGTGATGGAAATGCGTGGCATCTACGCCAAAGTGGACCGGCTGGAGGTGTGTCCAGGAAAATGAGCTTTCTTTGTGAGATCCGCGGATGTGTTCTGGCTCTTTCGTCTTGTCTTCCAAGATACTGGCCTGACCCTGAGACTGTCAGGCACCAGACCTAGTGCAGGGGGTTGGGGCCTACACTCATGTAACGTTTAAAAAATATGACAAATATGAATTTACATAAAGTATCCTATTTAAAAAATTGGGTACTTTATATAAAATCTGAATGTTACGCTCCTTTTGGAAATTCAGCAGCTTTGATAAACCTGGACCCACATTTCTTTAAATACTTTCATCTATTTATTGTTCAAGGTACCTATACTACTAAAAGGGTAATATGCTAATTGGACTGGACGTCTTCCGATGTCCTTCCTGACAAAGCTGGGCCCAGGAGAAGCCGCCCACCCCTGGTCCTGGGCTCCTGCGACCAGCCAGAGGGAGGGAAGCCCGGGTCTCAGGTGCAGGGCCGAGGTAGAGGCAGTTAGGGGCGATCAGGCAGGCAGAGGGGTTAGGGGCGATCAGGCAGGCAGGCAGGCAAGAGGTTAGAAGCCAGCGATCCTGGATTGCGAGAGGCAGTCGGACATCCCCCGAGGAATCCCGGATTGGAGAGGGTGCAGGCCGGGCTGAGGGACCCCCCCCCCCGAACAAATTTCGTGCACCAGGCCTCTAGTAAATATATAAAATGCACCCATCTAAGTATACAATTCAGTTAATTTTTACTGAAATTCACGTGACCCCAATTTTTTTTTTATTGCTTAGAGTATTACATACGTCTCCTTTTTTTTCCCCCTGCCCTTGACAATCCTCTGGCCTCTCCTACCCCCCAGTGTCTTATGTCCATTGGTCATGTGACCCAAATTTGAGAAATGGGACATTTCCAGCCCTGGGCTGAATTGTAGAGCCGGTGGCAGCTGCCCTTCAGCTGGGCATGTGTTTGCTATTTCACCACAGTCCCCACCATGCCCTATTGCCTCACTGCTGCCTTCTCTCCCCCATCTGTTACTGTGTGGGCTGAGCTGCACAGCATCTCATTGTCCTCCTGCTGCACTGCAGAGTCGGTACCCTCCTGTCCCATCTCCCAGAGGAGGAACCTAAGCTCCGAGACGTACACCACTTACCCAGGGTCACGCAGCTAATTCCATGAAGCTGGGACTCAACTTCTGTCCACGGGGGCCTAAGCTCTTAATTGAACTGCAGCCCTCAGCCTGGGACCTTGGCTCCTTGCACAGAGAAGGACTGGGAGGCCGGGAGGCTGGGAGGAGCTTGCAGTGTCATAGTGGTCACCTGGACAGAGGGACGTGGCCCCTCGGAGCTGCAGAGGAAGGGAGCCTGGCAGGCAGCACTGAGTGAGCAGAGAATTAACATTCTTGTCAGCGGAGAATGAGGCAGGAATATAATTAAAACGTTGCCCTTGGAATAGCTGATTCATTTGAATTTTATTCCACACGTTGGGAAGAGGGAAAGGAGCATGGAGATTTGCAGCCCTGGCTCTTGCCTTGCTTGGGCCGGCCCAGCTCTGCAGCCCGATGCTTTCCTTAGCATTCGGTTCACTAACATCTACTGTGGGCCTACTATGCGCCACTCGTAGTGAGAAAGATAGAGACGGTCCACAGCCATATTCTAGCAGGAGGGACTTGACACCCAAGCATGACCTTAGCAGTTTCCTATTGCCACCATCGCAAATGGCCTCACATTAGCGGCTTAAAGCATGGATTTACTATCTTATCGCTCCTAGGGCAGAAGTCCAAAGTGTCCCGCAGGCTGAAGTTGAGGTGTCAGTGGGTTCCTTCGGGAGGCCCTGGGGGGAGAACTACCCCTTTGCCTTTTCCAACTTCTGGAAGCCGCCAGCATTTCTCAGCTCATGACTCCTTCCTCCATCTTCAGAGCCCACAGCCTGGCATCTCCCGTCTCCCTCCTACTCGGACCCTCCTCGCCCCTCTCCTGAGGAGCCTGTGCTTACATGGGCCTCCTGGATAAGCCAGAGCCATTGCCGCCTTTCAGAATCCTCAGTCACATCTGCAAAGGTCCTTTCGCCGAGTAAGGAAACAGATGCCCAGGTTCCAGGGATGAGAATGTGGACATCTTCGGGGCCATTATTCTCCCAGCCACCATCAGCCCAGGGGACTGAGGGTGAGGCAGGTGCTGGGAGGGAAGGTGACCGAGGGGAGGAACCCATAGGCCCCTGGAGGGTGAGTGGAGGGAGCAGTGGTGGGGGAGGTGTGGGCAGGGGCACAGCCAAGACAGAAGCTCTGAGGCAGGGGGGAGAAGGCACCAGAAGGGTCAGGCTGTCCTGGTCCCGGCCGTGGCCAGAGCAGGGCTGGGGAAATGGGGCAGCAGGAGCCCCGTTGTCTGGGCCTTGCTATCCAAGGTCAGGATTTGGCCTTTATCCTGAGGAACAGGAAGCCACTGAAAAGACAGGATTGCCTAGTGGTTAGGAGTGGCAGCTCTAGACAGCACAGCCTCAGTGCCATCGGTACTCGGGGCCTGAAATGCTGTGGGGCGGGGCCATCCTATGGGCATCACAGGGCTGAGCAGCAGCCTCGACCTCCACCTCCCAGAAGCCAGCGGCATGTTCCCCAGCCCCTGCCCCCCAGCTTCATTATGACAAACAACATGTCTCAGATGTTGCGAATGGCTCCTGGTGGGAGTCCTGCTGCCCGAGCTCAATCCTGAGGCTGCCTCTTCCCAGTGTGCACCCCAGCAAGTTCCCTGTGAAGTGGGCAACAGCAGTGAGGTTCTAGACCCAAAGCGTGTCGATCTTTACTCGACAAAGATCTGTAGGACGCTGACGGTGGGCTGCGCTGAGGTGGGTGCTGGGAATGTGGCTGGGGCGAGGCTCCTGGTCCCCTGCTAGTGGCCGTGGGGTGCTGGGTGATTAAGTGGCGGGGAGGGGGATGCCTGCCAGACCTAGAGCAGACAGCTGCCCAGGGCTGTGACCTCCATGCTGAGGCCTGAGAGGTGGAGCAGTGAGCTGGGAAGGGAACGCTGAGTCTGGGAGGAGAACGGCCTTTGGGGCAGTTGGGGGTAGGTGTAGTGTTCAAGATCAAGGGTGAGGCTGGGTGGTGGGCCTGCTGGCCAGGTAGGGCCCAGTCATGGCTTTCGGACCCTGTTTTGAGGGTGCCAGGACTCTGATCAGAGGGGTTATAGTTACTATACTTTGTTTTCTCTCTGACAAAGTCCAAAATAATTTTTTAAAGCATTCCATTCAGAAGTTCTTAGTATATTTACAAGGTTGTACAATTATCACTACTATCTAATTCCAGAACATTTTATCGTCCCTAAAGGAAACTCCATATCCATTAGCAGTCATTGCCCCGCCCCTGGCAGCCGCTCAGCTGCTTCCTGAATCTATGGATTGGCCTGTTCTGACGTTTCATAGTAATGGAATCATACAACCAACATGTGGCCGGGAGTGTCCGGCTCCTTTCACATAGCGTGTTTTCAGGGTTCATTCATGTTGTAATATGTGTCAGAACTTCAGCCCTTTTGTGGCTGAATAATATTCCATCATATGGATATACCACAGTTTGCTTACCTTTCATCAGTTGATAGGTGCTTGGTTTGTTTCCACCTTTGGGCAATTATGAATAACTAGAGGCCCGGTGCACAACATTCGTGCACTCGGAGGCGGGGGGCGGTGTCCCTCAGCCTGGCCTGTGGCCTGTCGCAGTCCAGGAGCCCTCAGGGGATGTTAGACTAACAGCTTAGGCCCGGTCCTCATGGAGAGTGAGCCTAAGCCGTAGTCAGACATCCTTAGCACTACCACAGAGTCAGGAGAGGCTCCCACCACCACCACTGTGCTTCCCAGCCGTCAGCCCAGCTTGTGGCTGAGCAGCACTCCCCCTGTGAGCATGCACTGACCACCAGGGGGCAGCTCCTGCATTGAGCGTTTGCCCCCTGGTGGTAAGTGCGCGTCATAGTGACCGGTCATTCCGCCATTCAGTCGATTTGCATATTACCCTTTTATTATATAGGATGCTGTCTAAATTTTATGTGGATATGTTTTCATTTCTCCTGGGTAAATACCTAGGAGTAGAATTGCTGGATCATACAGTTATTCACTTTAGGAACTGCCAAACTACTTTCCAAAGTGACCACAGTGTTTTGCACTTCCACCAGCATTTGCTATAAGTTTTAGATAGAGGTTGAAAACTCAGGGGCCAGTGGGATTCAGGACTGTGCTGAGCTGACCAGCCTCAAGGCCCCCTCCGCTGTTATTTCCCAACAGCTGGTGCTGAAGAGCAACTGTCCCCTTCAGTGGATATGATCCCCCAGGCTCGCCGCAGTCCCCACTCTGCCCTAGAGCCTCCCCACCATTGAGGCTGATGGCATTTGCCTTGTATCACCCCCACCTTCCTGGGCTGTTGCTTTCCTTAGAGGAGAGAGATATTGCTCTGTCAGTGGGTCTCTATCAAAAGGAGGAAAAACTAAGCTAGTCAGAAAGGGTCATGGATTTCGAGGCCAATGGGAGAATATGTATTTCCCATGATGTGGTGGGTGACATCAGAACAGTACAACATAGGCCCCTGTGAGAACCTGCCATTGTACCGGGGTAGATGGATTCCACAGCCTGACTGCCTGCCTCAGCTCTGCCCTTTGGGTAACCCTTTCCTCTTTTGTCCCCTGCAAGTTGGGGATGTGCAGTTTGTCCCTCGCAGAGTTGTCATGGGGCCAGCACCTGGCACATTCAGGGGCTTCGTGAGGACACGCTGCCAGGCGGTCACTGCCCACAGGCGGGGAGAGGGGAAGGATGCTCGCCACTCAGCCAGCTGGCCACGGCCACGACCACAGCCACGGGCCCTAGGCCTTCCAGGGAGCCTAAGACTGCCCTGCTCTCAGATCAGTGTGACCCCTGGGTGGACGGAGCTTGGGAACTGGGCCCTTTCTCAGTTTTAATAAAACTAACATTTACTGAGCACCTGCTACGAGCCAGGGACTCTGAGTGCTTTTCTCGTAAGAACTTGCTTTAACCTCACAGCAGCCCCAGGAGGAAGGTGCTGTTGTTGGTCCCATTTTATAGAGGAAGCAGCTGGGCACAGAGAGGTGAAGTGGTTCGCCCAAGGCCACACAGCGAGGAGGTGGTGGAGCTGGTATTGCAAAGGGCTGTGCTCCTGGCTGCGCCTCAGTGCTGAATGTTGGCACTTTCTGGGCAGGGACCTGCTCTGAAGCTGGGGCCTTTGCCCAGAGTGTTCAAATGCATTAGAACTCAAGTATATTTTAAAGCATTGGGGCTTTCTCTCCCCTTCCTTCTTTCCTTCCTCCCCCCCTCCCCCCCCTTCTTCCTTCTTCCCTTCCCTTCCCTTCTTTCCCTTTAAATAACAAGAGATACAGGAAATATCACGCGTGTATGCTTCCCTTCCCTTCCCTTCCCTTCCCTCCCTCCTTCTCTTTCTCCTCTCCTCCTCCCTCCTGATAATAAAAGTAACACATTTTAATTGTGTAGAGAAATATATAGAAGTCACCCACACTCCATAACCCAGCTACTAGGGTGGCTGGGATTGGCTGCCACCCTCTTCCTGTCCCCCAGCCCCGTCTGTGTGGATGCATGTGTGTCTGCCCCAGTTGGCTGCAGGCTGGGGTGGCCCCAGTTTGGCCTCTCCCTGGCCCTGCTGGGCTGGGCTGCCCTCGCTGGCAGGCATTTGGGAGGCGGGTCAGACCTCGTGAGCGCGCATTCCTCAGCGTGGCCTCACTCCCCACCCAGCTGGTATTAGCGCAGGGAGCGTGAAATTGGAATCGGCTGGAAGGACTGCAGGACTTTCTTCTATTTCACAACCAGATGTGCTGGCCCCGCGAGGCCTCCAAGCTTGAGGGCCAGAGCCCTGGTCAGGGGAAGCTTCCTGCCCGTGGCCCCTTGTCCCCACCACACGCACACGTGCACACGTACACACACACACACACACACACACGTGCACACACACGTGCACACGCACACACCCCTGATGGGGCTCACTCGGCCTTTCAGCTCTGCCCCTGCCAGGACCCCAGGGAGCAGCACACCGTGGGCTCATCCAGTGCCTTTTGCTGAGGATGCATTGGTTCGCTCACGCAGGCGCGCACTCATCACGGTGCATCCCTCAGGCCCTCACCGCCCAGCTGAGCCCGCTAGCTGGCCAGGCCCTGGTCGTGGCCTGTGGACAGCACTGACCCAGCACGTGCTCTTTCAGACAGAAAACCTCTCTGAGCCTTGGTCTCCCTTGTCTGTAAAACAGGCTAAAGATAGGGTCCGGATGGGGAGAATGGGGGAGGACACGGTGGGACCGGGCAAGCGGGTGGGGGTGGGGGCGGCTGCTGTGACTGTTGGGGCCCCTGGAGGCGGCCTCCCAGCTCAGGCCCCACCTCTCCAGGAGCCGCTGTGGCAGTGACTGGGGTCGGCCTCTGCTGGCGGGAGGGGGGGGGATGCAGCCAGGACGGCCCCAGCCCGGGGCAGAGGTGCCATCCCCGCTCTCCCCTCCCCCCCCCCAGGCCTTCGTCAAGATGGTGGGACACCACGTCTCCTTCCTGGAGGACCATGTGCTCCGGGCCGAGCGGCGCCACGGAGCCTTCTCACAGGCCCTGCGGAGGTGGGGGTGGCCGGGCCCCAGAGGGCTCCCCTCCTTCAGGAACGTGAGTATCTCCCCACCCCTCCTCCTCCCAGACCCTGGAGGGGGAGGGCTCAGGAAACGGGAGGTCAAAGGGCACGTCTCATTTCTGCAGACAGGAAACGGTGTCTGGCGGCCCAGGAAGGGCTGGCCCAGGTGGCTGGTGTCTGGGTCCCTCCCGCAGGTCCCTCTCCTTGCTCTGAGTTTTGAGCTTCGTGTGACCGCTTGCTTACTCATCCACCATTTATTGAGCGCCTGCTGTTTGCTGAGCATGGTGGTCCATTGGGATTACATAGTGAGCAGAGACAGACCCTGCCCGCCTCTCCCGTCCTCACAGCCAGAGGACGTGCTCATAGACGCCCAGCGTTCAGGTGGGGTCCTCCTTCCCAGGCACGGGCTGGCCTCCCGCAGACCCGCGGGGCTGGGGCCAGGAGGGTGCCCAGCCTGAGTGCGGCCTTTGCAACTTGTAAAGGCCTCTCCTTCCGGCGTCTCTGCTTCTTGGGATCCTCCCAATGGCCCGTAAGGATCACGCATCCCTTTTACTGATGGGAAAACTGACGCCAGACTCTTCCTGCTGTTGAGACCTTCCCTGTCTTTTCGGCTTGTCACGTGCCGACTCCCAGCCCAGGGGACACTGGGCAAGCCCGGAGACATTTGGGCTGTCAACTGGAGATGAGGGTTCTATTGGCATCTAATGGCTACAGACCAGGGGTGCTACTAAACACCCTACAAATCCCTAGAGCAGGGGATTGTCTAGCTCTAAATGTCAGTAATGCGAGTGTGGGAAACCCTGCCCTGGATTTGCTCATAACAATGGCTTATGTTATATCTGTTCTAAGTGCTTTTTTTAAAAAAAAATTTCAGAGAGGAAGGGAGAGGGAGAGAGAGAAACATTAGTGATGAGAGAGAATAATTGATCTGCTGCCTCCTGCATGCCCCACACTGGGGACCAAGGCTATATAATCCAGGCATGTGCCCTGACCGGGAATCAATCCCTTGACCTCCTGGTTCATGGGTCGACGCTCAGCCACCACACTGGCCGGGCTGTTCTAAGTGCTTTACCTGCTGTGTCATATGGCATCTAATTCTCACACCAGTCTTTGGAAGAAGATACTTTTAGCATCACCCCCATTTTATAGACGGGGAGACGGAGGCTCAGGGGAGTGAAGGGAATTGCCCAGGCCCACGGCCTGGTGTGATAAGGCTGGATGGAGCCCTGGCTGACATGTCTCTGGGCCTTGCCCTTCTCAGGAAGGTGTCTACCCAGCCAGCTGCCCTGTCCTGCCCCAATGGGGTCTCTCACTGTTCTTTGAGGTCTGCCTGTGGGTCCCCCTCTGTTCCTCCATTCCCCTGTGCCTCCTGCTGCCCCCATGCCTCCATGCTGTGTTATCTCTAATCACTGTGTGCACTGGGTTTTAACATTACAGCCATTTGATAGATGAGGAAAAGGAAGTTTGGAAAGTTTCAGGGGTTGTCTTGTAGCCCATGGACCAAATTTGGCCCCTCATTTCATTTGGCCCAGCAGCGTTACCTAAGCAGCATATCTCAGGATGCCTGACTAGTCATTCACTCTCTAGTCCCTGCTGGATCCCACTGCCCCATCTTTTCTTACACCTGCCCGAAGCATGTGCTGCTCACCCAAGGAAGCAGAGATGTCAGTCACACAGTGCCTGCCTCCAGATGAATGACTTGTCCAAGGCCAGTAACAGCTAGACAGATCTCATGGTCTAGAAACTCTTATTCATCCTTCAAAACCCAAGTTAACGCCACTTCTTCCGGGAAGCCCTTTGGGATTTCCCCATCTCCAGACAAATGCAATTGTTTTGCCTTCCAATGACAATGAAATCAGAAGCTGCTACTTCATCCTCCTCTTTGCAGAGTTATGGTAACTCTTCCTGGGTGACCAGCAGCACCCTACTCACATAGTGCTCTGCCCACAATGGCTCCAGAAGCACCTCGGGCGAGGAAGGTCAGAGGCCTTGGCTGCCATGGCCTGCTGGGCCCTTGCCCCTGTGCACCTTGCAGCCTTTTCTGTAATCCGCACATTGTCCGCCTGTGGTTGGCACTAGTGTCCCCATTTAGAGGCAGAGACCAAGGCCTGGAGAGCGAGAGACACGTGTCTGAGGTCAGTGCTGGGGTTGGGACTCCTGCAGCAGGACCCCACCGGGGTGTGGCTGGGCGTGCCGGGACCTGCACCTTCTCATCTCTGCCAGACTCGGGCCCCCAGGCCTACCTGCGGTGACTTGTTCCCGGAAACTTGTGGCAGCCCAGGTGTGGTGAGTCATCTGCACCCCCAGCGTGTTGGTCTTGGCCCCAGGAGGGCTTTGTCTAAAGCAGGCAGTGCAGGCGAGCAACACACACACACACACACACACACACACACACACACACGCATATGCACACGCACGCACACACATGCACACACACGTGCACGCACGCACATGCACACACAGACCCGAGGGTGTTGGGGGCTGCACTTGCCTCCAGGGTGTGAGCTGAGGGCCTTTCCCTGTGCGGTAGCTCTGGTCATTGTCTCTGTTTCCCAGATGGGAATACTGACGTGCTGACGGGTTGAACTGCTAGCTCACCCGGAGGGTGGAGCTGGGATTTGAACCTGTGAGGCCTGGCTCTGCCAGGTCTCTCTGTTCCGACCATCAGAACTGGTGTCTGGGGGGAGGGGTCCTGGAGGAATGCCCGGACAATTCTCCATTTCTTCATCTGGGTTTTCCATAAGCCAGGATTTCACATTTCCCAGTCCTCTCCCCTCAGTGCCTGTGCCGGGTGGGCACTGCCCTTCTCCCGCGAGGGCACAGCAGCCCCTTCCTGCAGGAGCGAGAGCTGCTCCTTACAGCCCGACTCCATCTCCTGCCCAGCGCTGCCCTCCGAGGGTCCCGTGGAGTGGAGGCTGGGGTGGGACAGGGCCTCTTGGGCCTAGCCTGGGCTATGGGATGCGGGTGAGGGGTCCTGTCACTGTGGGGTGAGCCACCGATCGCTGTCCCCATGGCCTTCCCGGAGTCGGGGGAGGAGTGGGGACCCCCTCATGGGGCCCCGGAAGGAGGGGCTTTTGGGGGAGATGGGGAGAAAATTGGTCCTTGCTTTTTCTATCTAGCCCCACCTCCCCTCCTCCCTCCTTCCCCCTCTCTCCTTCCTCACTGCAGAGAGGCTGCGGGCAGCAGTCCCCACACGCTGCCCCAGCACCAGGGACCCGTGGGACTGGGTGCTGGCTGGAGCCTGGGCTGGCCCCACGATGCCATGGAGGAGAGGCCTGGGAACATGGGTATGACCACCCCCTATGAGCTCCCCCCAAGCCCAGGCCTTGTACCTCTAGTTGAGCTGCCTGAGAGCTGTGCAGTCAGTGCACAGACCCAGGGCCTGCCTGCGCCCAGGGCTCAGCATCCAGGTCAGAAATGTGCGTTTCCATGCACAATGCATGTGTTTCCATGCTACGCTGTATGTTTCCATGCTACGCTTTATGTTTCCATGCACAATGCATGTGTTTCCATGCTACGCTGTATGTGTTTCCATGCTATGCTGTATGTTTCCATGCTATACTGTATGTGTTTCCATGCTACGCTGTATGTGTTTCCATGGTACAAAGGTCCGTGTTTTCATGCTGCACTACGGAAGGAAAAGTTTTTATTAGGCTCTTACGTTGATCCTTATACCGTCCCAGGATTTTAACTAAGAACCGTACCTCTCCTTCACTGGCATGTTTAAGCTGTGTGGCCGTGGTTGTGTGGCGGGCCGCTGTAAGCCTCCGGTAGCTGACCTGTCAGCGGATGTGGGCATGATCGTATGCTCGCTGGAAAGCGGGTTTGGATTTGATGCAAAGTGACGGGACCTCCATCAGAGCCCCAGGAATGAAAAGGAAGAGAGAGATGCCGGAAGTCTCGGAAGGAGCGTTCTGGGCATTGGCGGGTCTGGAAGGCCAGCTCCGCTTGTGCAGCACAGACTGCCATGAGCAGGGGTCCTGGTCGTGGTGACACAGAGCTAGCCCTGCAGGCCACCACCGTCTCAGCTCAACACCCACAGGCAGGAATGTTTATCTCCCCGATTTACAGGTGAGCAAGCTAAGCCCAGAGAGGATACCCCAGGTCACACAGCTGGGCATGAGCATACGCCCCCATTCTCAGCTGTGTCCCACATGGCCTGGGAGAGCTCTGCCCTTGAAGCTGTGTCTGGGTGAATACAGATGGTAACCAAATCCTAAGCAAATTCAGTAGCTGGTCATTTCCTAAGGGGCCCTGGCTTGCTCTGAGGGGGGCCAGGGATGGCCTTGGCGGAAGGGCCATGCCAGCTGAGCCCTGGATGATGAATAAGAGTCCGTCTGAGGTCAGAAGAAAGGGCGCTCCCAGCAGAGGGAACCACAGCGCGAAGGCTGTGAGGTGAGGCCAGCACGCGCTTCAGGAGGGGCAGGCAGCCAGCGTGGGTTGGCCGAGGGAGCAGGGAGATGAGGCCAGGGCCTCGGGCCACACCCAGGAATTTAAGACGATTCTAAGGGCAATGGGGAGCCATGGAGGAGTTCATAGGAGGGGACGACTTGGTCATATTTGCTTCGTGTGAAAATTTCCCGGCCTGGTTCTCTGCCCTGAGTGAAGGCTGACACTCAGGGCGGGGATGTCTCGTGGAGACTTGAACAGGGGCGCGGGGGCCCTGGGTTTCGGGGCTCAGTCGTCAGGAATGGGCTTCCTCAGCCTGGAAACATCCTGTGCCCTGAGTCCACTGCCA